CTGAACCTGAGCTGCTCCACTGTCCCCACCTTTGTCTTGTCCATCACGGCCACCACGCAGGCAAGTAGGGTCTGGGCTGAGCTGGTGGCAGCTCCTTGCTCCTTGGTGGGCAGAACTTAGTGACCTGAGTGTCTTCTCCATCCAGGCTTTGGCTCTGATAGAGCTGTACAACGCCCCCGAGGGCCGCTACAAGCAAGATGTGTATTTGCTGCCTAAGAAAATGGGTAAAGATTTCCTGGGCTTGGGGGCTCCTCTGCTGTGGTTCTGAGAGGATGGGACAGATGGGAGGTCCTGCTGGGCTGGGCTGGGCTGAGCTGAGGCAGGCAGGGCAGTTCAGGGCAGCCTCCAGGGCTCGTGTTTGCTTCCCTGCCAAGCTCAGGGTCTTCCAGCAAGTTCTGCCTACTGGGTCTGGGCTCTTGTGGCCTCTTGATAACCCTCCTTGGCCTGCTGGAAGGTCAGTTCTTTGAGTCACTGCCAGCTTGGAAACACATCTTGGAGCAAAGGAGGCTGAGGGGAGACCTTCTGGCTCTGCAGCTCCTGAGAGGAGGTTGGAGCCAGGGGGGTCGGGCTCTGCTCCCCAGGAACAAGGGACAGGACAAGAGGGAACGGCCTCAAGTTGTGCCAGGGGAGGTTGAGGTTGGATCTGGGGAACAATTCCTGCCTGGCAAGGGTTGTCAGGGCCTGGCCCAGGCTGCCCAGGGCAGGGGGGGAGTCCCCATCCCTGGAGGGGTTTCCAAGCCCTGGAGATGGTGCTGAGGGACATGGGGCAGTGGGGGCCTTGGCAGGGCTGGGGGAATGGTTGGACTGGGTGATCTCAGAGATCTTTCCCAACCCAAACAATTCTTATTTTTTGTGTTAATTGCATTTCCTCAGACCAGCTGCAGCTTGTCCTCAGCTGCCACCTACCAGAAATGCCCAGTAGAGCACCCAAGCTTGCCCAAGGCTGCACCACCACCCAGCAGCAGTCCCAGGGGTATTTCTACCAGGTGAACACCTAGAAGGGTATTTCAGAGACAGGTTTTCCCCCTCTAGCTCAAAACAGGTTGGTTGTCCCCACTCAGGGTGACCAGCAGCCCTGCAGTTTAGCAGCCCAGGCATGAGGAGTGACCCCATTCCCAGCTGGGGCTTTAGGGAGCAGGAGAGGACTCGTTGCCTTCCCCTTCTCCTACTAACTTGGCTTGACACCCTGGCAGATGAGTACGTGGCCAGTCTCCACCTCCCCACCTTTGATGCCCACCTGACAGAACTCACGGATGAACAAGCAAAATACCTGGGACTGAACAAGAATGGACCTTTCAAACCAAACTACTACAGGTGCTGCTCCTCAACCTCCCCTTCTGCTGCCACGGGGGGTGGGGAGGGCAGAGGGTTTCATCCCACCAGTCCCCTTGAGAAGGTTCTGTGGGGCTTTTCTGGTGGTTCCAGTAGGGAATGGCCCAGCCTGGGAGGGGACAGCGTGGCTGGAGCTGTGACAGGGAACAGCTGGCAGGACACCAGCCCTTTGTGTCTGGCAGCAGCTGCCACCTCCCCCTGGCACATGGCAGAGGGATGTCACCCGCCCACCTCGGGTGACAGCTTCAGTTTTAAAGCTTGTGGCAGGATGAGCTCAGCTCCCCGGGTGGGCTCAGCTCCCTGCTCCCCTCCCCTGGAACAGGCCGTGCTGATCCCCCCCCAAAACAACCCTTATCTTCACCCAGAGCCCCTGGATCCCTCCCCAGACTGACACTTGTAGCCAACATGGGGACACGTTTTGCTTCGCAGAGAAGGAATTTCTTGGTGTGCAGGTTTCAGGTTCTCCCCCAAGGGCACCCAAAGGCTCCAGGATGGGGTTCAGTGGGATTTGCCAGATCCTGAGGTGGTTCTTTTTCCCTGCCCTGTGTTAAGTGCAAAGGCCTCCTGGGGAGGAGCTTCCTCTGGTTCCATTTTCTTTGCCCATTTTGCCTTCCAAGGACCTGGAGGGGCTCCAGGAAAGCTGGGGAGGGGCTTGGGACAAGGGCAGGGAGGGATGGGAGCAGGGGGAAGGGTTTCCAGCTGGCAGAGGGAGCTGGAGCTGAGATGGGAGGGAGAAATTCTGGGCTGTGAGGGTGGGGAGAGCCTGGCCCAGGTTGCCCAGGGAAGCTGTGGCTGCCCCATCCCTGGGGGTGTTGAAGGGCAGGTTGGATGGGGCT